TTAAATTTAAGAACTGGAAAAGCGCTATATGGTGAGAGCATTTAAAAACACGTGCTGCCTTGCCAGGAGAGTATGATTTTTATTTTGTTTTTTAAACCACTAAGTGACTGAAGGACTGTGGAAATGACTAAGATGTCTAAGTGTAGCTGATAGATTTGATAGTGTGCATGCCAGTAATGTAAATTGGTAAAGGAACCATAATGTTAACTTTTGAATAGAAGTCGATGCTTGGTGTAGAAACGTGGAAGCAGAGATGCAATTCATGTGCTTTCATTTGGCATCTTCATACATGCTGGCTTTATTTAGGTCTTATCCAAGTTTTCTAGCTGCATATCTTGGATGTTAGTTCTGTCTCCTTTCCCCTGCCTATTACAAAATATTAGCAAGAAAATGTTTAACTTCAGCTTTAAAAAAAAAATCAGGGAATGAGAGGGTTAAATTAGCATTTATCATGAACTGTGCATCCATTATTATGCTATGCTTGCATTAGTTACTTCATTAACTCTGCATTGCAAAGGCAGTACATTTCTTTCCTTGCTAAATGAACTGCTGACTCTGACAGCCTAAACTTACTCTTGTCATCTAGTTTAACTTCAGACCTTTCTGATTTGATTTTTTTTTAAACTTGTGGTCTAACTTGTGGTTGTAGCCTAACAGAAGGAGCAAAGGCTCAATTAACTTCCAAGACTAATCTCAGTAGATACTAGGAATTTGAATTCTCAAAGCCATGTAAAAGCTAACGTAGTTTTTACACTATGACGCTGATTAATTAAGCACTTGCTTGAAAAATGCTGTTAGCCATGCTAGGCAAATTTTACTATGAGCTGGTATTTCAGATGGTATTTTATCTCATAACAGCATCTGATGAATGAGGCGGAACATTCCATGAAAAGTGGAAAAAAATATGGCACTGTGTGCCATGGAGTTGTAGTCTAATTTCTATAAGCATCATTTTGTTTATGACTCATCATGATGACTTTCATATGGGACCAGAATTAGAACTGTACGTCCACCTTTTACTGGCATTTCATGATTTTTAAGGGTGTTTCTGTCTAACATGAACATTCTCTGAATGTCTCACTTTATTTCCCTTCAGATTCCCTATAAAAAGAAAGGATTATAAACATTGAAAGGGGTTACTTTTGATCTCTGGCATTTGGCTGAGTACTAAGTTAACTATTTATATGAAGAGATACACCTCTGTTACTAAGAATGTGTTCTCCTAGGCTGTCTAAATGTGCAGAGCCGTAACAAGCAGCTGTAGGGATGTTGTGTCACACTGACAGTGGGAATGCTGCAGTCATTTCTGTTACTTGCTCTCAGAAAGAATACAGTGGAAGTAGTGGTAGTTTAGGAGCACAGTGGGGAGAAAAGATTAAAAATGAATATTAAACAGAGAAGGGAAAAAAATCAACTATTTCATATAGCGTTTTGTTCATGCTTAGCAAGAGCACTCCCAACTTTTCCTCTCCCTAGCCAGGAGAATTTCACTGAAGTAGAATACTGAAATGCTGCGAGTGTCAGATGTAATGTTCTCATTACCCATATAGATTTAACATTTTTTTGAATCCATATTTGCCCACTAGAGGGCTGATTGCATCTTTCCCTTTAATATTTGATGTTGTCTGAGGCAGATGCCCTTAATTAAATGGATCATTTGTTCCCTTGAAAATGCTTGATACCACACAATACAAAACTCTGAAATGCAGCTTTCTGCTATATTCCAGGGCTTTTTTTAACTCATAAGGCTCATGAATTCGTTAATGCTACATAACATTCTTGCCCTCTGAGGGCTGATGCTAATTAGATGATTGGAAAATGAGTCCCTGCAAGACTTTCTTTTCAAATGTTGCTTGAAAAACAATACTGTAATGTCTATATCTGCTAAATTCAGACAAGAAGGGTTTGGTTTGGGGCAGGGTGTGTGTGTGTTTTTTCTAACAGTCAGATTTATCTTCCATTTTTATGCAAGTGCCAGAGAGGTTTTGAAATACCTTCTTTATAATTTTATTTTGAAAATGGAAAAGGACATTCAGTCTATTTCTCTTCATTAGTTTATTCTAGGGAATTTCTGACCTGAAGGCAGATTCCTGACAACACAAATAAGTAAAGGAGGAAAGGATGCACAGAAGTTATGGAAAATAAAGTAGATGGCTTTTATGGCACTACAGTTTTAGTGCCTGGGACTACTTAGATTTGATGACATAGTACAGTTCATTAATTTTTCAGAACAGAGTAGACTGCTTAAAATACATAGTCATGTGTACAGCACAAAGAGATTAGCACCCAGCATTGTATTTAAACTAGAGCAAAACTTCTAGAAAGGTATTTCTCTCAGAAAAGTAGCTGGATTCTCAAAATATTGATTGTAGGGGCCAAGTGATTGAGACCAAATCATAGCCTCTGAGTTGTTGTTCCAAAGATGCATTATTCTCATGGTTGGAAAGATCCCGTTTCCTCTTGGATTTTTTAACTTCTACTGTCAGCTACTGTTTCTCGTTATACGTTTCTTTGCTCATAAAACAAGCCCCTAGTAATTGATATTTTTCTCCCTACATAGATTTATATGGGTATTGACCAAGCTATCTTTTAAGCTTTTCTTCAAACCTAGATAGACTGCACTCTGTGAATCTTTACTGTGAGGACGATTTTCCACATGCCATCATTCTTTAAGTTCACTGAACTCGTCTGAGTTTTTCAATAATTGTTGGCTATGTGGACTTCAGAATTAGACGTGCTGCTGCAAGAACAGTTGCACCATTCCTGTTTACAAAAACGATAACCTGCTATTCCCCTTTGTTCTGGTTAGCCATGTTAGCACAGCATTGCACTGGGAGCTTGTTCTCAATTGAATGGTTTCTTATCAGAGGGCTGATATTGTGGAACAGAGTTTAACTGAGAGTAATGGAAGTAAGCATCTGCTGAGAAGGAGCTTGATAAAAGTCATGCATGGGATTATACCATAATTGCTTGCATTAGCAGGGAACTGGACTTGGCGACTCAGAGGTATTTTTCAGTTTAGCATTCACCTCAAAGTTCTTGCTAGCATTGCTGCTTTCAAGGATGTTGCTTTCATCCTGTAAGTATGACTTGATAACTGCAAAATGCATGTGCTGTATTCAAGTCTAGCTTTAAGCATTTCAGAAGGTCTGAAACAAACTGCACAAGTGTTTGGAGACAGTTGGGTTTATAAACCAAGAGCTACTTTTTTAAAAAGATGATTCTGATGTTCCTTTTTACTCCTTGTATCTCTAATAGACCTAGGGATAAACAGCCAAATTGCTTCTGTTTGATTCCAGAAGGGACTGGGGGGGGGTGGGGTGGCGGGGGGTGTTATGTAAGGATGTATTTAGCTTGCATGTTCTGTTAGTGTTTGCAATTACAGTGGATTAAGAGAAAGATGAAGGTAGGAAACATGGGAACAACTGTTAGAGATGGTAATGAATGTAAAAGAGTAAGAACGGAGAGGAAAGAATGTGATGGCAGGTGTGTGGTAGAGTGCTTGCTAGGGAGGCATGGCTTCCAGTTAAATGGCTTAAAATCAAGCTGTGGCTTGGAAGGGCCTGTGGAAGTTAAGGTAGGTGCTGGATAAATATTGCCTACATTACATACGCTACTCAGATGACACACATAAAGCTTCTGGCTCCAACGTAAATAGTCACAATAGTAGATGTAATGAAGTATCCTCTTGGGAGGAGATGGATATGGGGAAGAACAGGAGATTAGCTCTCGGTGACTTGTAATACTCATCTCTTTTTGTCACTGGGCAGTTTTGTAAACACTTGTAAAACTTGAGGAAATTCCCAGACAAAAACATATGTCAACCTGCTGTGAAGGTTGAATTCATGTTAGCCAGACTTCTGGGTGGCATTTTTTCTCTCAAATGTGACCCTGGAAGTTCCAAGTGCAGGTTCAATTTTGTCTTGTTTAATTGAAAAGTCTGCAAATGGAAAAACAAGTTCAAAGAAACCTTAACTCTGCCCCTTGGTTGGCATGCATTTGGAAAAAAAAAAAAAAAAGTCACTTGGATGCAACTTCTATCTCTCTGTCAAATTATCAACCACAAAAGCTTTTACCATCTTGAATTGTATAACAGTGCAAGCTTCTCTTAACAGCCTGGTGTCATGATGGAGGAACAGTTTTTAACAGCAGCATCCGTAGCAGATAGATGCCAACTGCTTCTTCCTGTTCAAAGAGTCTGTATGTTACCAAATACGTTTCTGATCGTTATGGGAACAGATGGGTCCAAACTCCTAGACAAAATATTTTGCATCACATCAGTAAGGTAGAAATGATGAAAACCCATTAGACCAGTGACATACCACATTTGATATCCAGAGCATCTTTGTGAGACCCACTAGGAAAGCAGCACTGTTGTTATTCTCAGCATTTTGTATTCTAAATACTCGAGTGTCTTCTCCAAAAATGGGAACACAGTTAAGTGAGTTTGGTCATAACTGCTTTTGCAGACTTTGCAGTGCACGGAATTAACTTCTATTATGAAGATGAACCTTAACCTGGGATTTCCAGGTTTTCCGATCTTTTTTTGACTGAAATAAATCATAGATGAACAAAGTGGGGTTTTTGTCTGGGAATTATTATTCCTGTCCCCTTCAGATTGCTGTTGGAAAATTTCCAAAGTGCTGCCCTGTCTCCCTTGTAAGCCTAATAAATTAACCTCTTTGATTCTTCCAAGACCTTTACTTGTCTGGCTGCAAGGTCTTGTTTGGTCTCTTCTGCCAGTTCCCAGCTTAAGTTTGTACCCCTGGGACTGGAGAACTCGCAGCTGAGCACAGTGCCCCGTGTGAAACCTCCCCAGAACCACACAGCGAGAAAACATCCCTTCTTCGCTCAGTGTGGAAGACCCTGTCCAGTTAGAGTTGATACATATTGGGGCTTGCCCCCGTGTGACACTGTCTCTTCCCCTCGCCCCGGTCCCAGGTGCCGGATGTGTTCGCTGACCTTCTACTCCAAGTCGGAGATGCAGATCCACTCCAAGTCCCACACGGAGACAAAGCCACACAAGTGTCCTCACTGCTCCAAGAGCTTCGCCAACAGCTCCTACCTGGCCCAGCACATTCGCATCCACTCAGGGGCCAAGCCCTACACGTGCAGAGCTTCGCCAACAGCTCCTACCTGGCCCAGCACCTCCGCATCCACTCGGGGGCCAAGCCCTACACCTGCCGCTACTGCCAGAAGGCCTTCCGCCAGCTCTCCCACCTGCAGCAGCACACACGGTAAGGGCCAGAGGAGGCTGGGGGCCCTCCGCATTGCATGTTGCTGTCATCCCAGCATGCTGTGAGCACCCTCAGCGGGCGACTGCCTGGGGAGGCCTTGCTGCCTTCCACAGGCTGGTTGGGTCTCATACATGACAAACAGGCAGTAGTGGTACTGGACACGTGAGACTTGTTGCTTGCTGTGAGGGGCCGGGTGTGCACCGAGGTTAGCGCTGCTCACTCTAAGGGGCGCCTGCAGTGGAGTGACGCTTTCTCACAGAAGGTAGGGCTGGTTGTGTCAGAGAGAGAGCAGAGCGGGTGTAGGAGGACTGTTCCCAGTCACCCCAGTGTAGTTCTGCCAAACGTCTCAGTCCAGGCTTGCAGCCCCCCTGCTATTTCAGCCGTAGGCTTCCCACACACAGCTCTGCCAATGCCCCTCAGTCCAAACTCTATAGTTCCTCTCTCTGGATCCTCCCCCGGTGCGGACAGACCATGGCCTCTTGAATCCAAGGGGAGCACGGTTTGAGACCGAGCGAGCTCATGCCGTGGTGTTTGGAGTTCCTCCATGTAGCAGATAGCGTGGTGCTGTCCCACCCCCTTTGTGCCCTCATTCCATCAGCACTAGCCAGATGGCGGTCGTGTCCAACTGCTGCTGCTCCTCCTCCTCTTCGGCAGGATCCACTCCAAGCTCCACACGGCGATTGTCAAGCCGCACAAGTGTCCTCACTGCTCCAAGAGCTTCGCCAACACATCCTACCTGGCCCAGCACCTCCGCATCCACTCAGGGGCCAAGCCCTACACGTGCAGCTACTGCCAGAAGGCCTTCCGCCAGCTCTCCCACCTGCAGCAGCACACACGGTAAGGGCCAGAGGAGGCTGGGGGCCCTCCGCATTGCATGTTGCTGTCATCCCAGCATGCTGTGAGCACCCTCAGCGGGCGACTGCCTGGGGGCCCCCCAGAGTGGACGGAGTGGAGGCTGCGCAGGAGACACTGACCACGTCAGGGCTGAGGTGGGCACGTGCTGTCCCTGGGGATCCTTGGTCTTGCACCGTGGGGGGCACAGAGAGAGAGAGCGATAGAGAGAGAGGCATTGGCCATAGGGGATTCCAGCCTGGCACCACGGGGGTTGGACTGAGTGTGCGGAAGCTTCTCCTGGCATTGCAGGGGGTCAGGGACAGATGAACACTCTAGGCGATCTCAGCCTGATGATGTAAAGTGTTGGAGTGTCTATTCTGAGAAGGAACAGAGCTGCTTTCCTGGTACTGCGGAAGCAAGAGAACAGACTCCTCTCAGTCATGTGGGACTCGTGAGCTTGGAGTAGGGAGCCTGGACCTCCAGACCCCTTCCCAACGCATTTTCAGGTGTCCCACCTGCTGAGCTGGCCAGGCATTCATAAGCTCTTGCTCCTCAGTCCTAGTCACTCTCTGAAGTCTGCTTGACTGCCTATCTTCTTTGACTTCTAGCTGGACACAGGAGCTGGGCAGAGCTCTCTTTGTCCAGATAGAACAGCATCTGGAGGCATCATCATCCCCCTCCCCTGCTCTCCTGAGTGGCTGTGAGATTTGACCACAGCATCAGGCCCTGGCAGTCTGCCCTGCCTGCCTGCTCACTGCCTCCCATTTGTGCTCTTCCTCCTCAACAGTATCCACACTGGGGACCGACCCTACAAATGCGCTCACCCTGGGTGTGAAAAGGCTTTCACCCAGCTTTCCAACCTGCAGGTAAGAGGCTGGGCTTGTCCTGCTCACCAGTGGGGGTGGCAAGGGCGGTGGCAAAGTGGGAAGAGAGGCTACTTGCCTGTGGTGGAGGAGATGGAGAAATTTGGGCAGCTGGGAGGAGAGTGCAAGAATACAGAAAAGCTGTTTTAAAAGCCCTGGGCGAGGAAGAGATTCCTGGCTTTTGTGGCACTAGTGAACCAGAGAAATCACATAAACAGTCACATCCTGTAAAATTGTAAACTTGACTTGAATGCAGTGAGACCTTGGTAAAGTTCCTCCCATCTGTTGCGTTGAGTTTTCTAACTTAGCTGGGGCAAGACTTTTGCTAAATGTCACACAGAATAAAATCTGGGTATCTGACTGGCTTTTTTGTTTGTTTTACAATGAAATGGAGGGCGTAAGACCAGGGATTTAGGGAAGCAGAGGTGGTGTGTCCTGTTGCAGTATCCTGGAGGACAGAACTCTAGGCTGTGCCAAATGGCAAAGAGCTGTAAATGCCTGCGAGCAGTTAAAGCAGATCCTGCCCTGAAGGGCAGTGACAGATGCAGGGAGCAAATGTGTAGTGAGGCAGAAGAGGAGAGAAAAGGAAAAGGCTGCAAAAGAGTTGTGTGGAGACTGAGAAGATGGGAGGTTGCGGGGAGTTAGGAGACTCTGCTTGTCAAATGCCTAGTATGCCTGAGAGAAAAGGGCATCTGTGGGGAAGATGTGGTGGGCTGGAGGGAGAAGCTCTATCCCCTATGCTAGGAACCAGGCGTACCTCCCTCAGCAGGTGGGGGGCCTAGGGAGCTTGGGGCCTGGCTGGAAGTGGGTGTCAGAGGTAAAGCCTTCTCCAGTACTAATACTCTCTCTTCCTTCCCTGCACTTGATTTCTCTTCCCTCCACCCTGCTGCCACCCCCCAGTCCCACAGACGGCAGCACAACAAAGACAAACCTTTCAAGTGCCACAACTGCCACCGTGCGTACACGGATGCTGCCTCGTTGGAGGTACACCTGGCTACGCACACGGTGAAACATGCCAAGGTCTACACCTGCTCCATCTGCAGCCGGGCCTACACCTCGGTGAGTGTTTGCAGCCCTGGGGGGTAGCAGAAGTGGACACGTTTCCCAGGGAGTAGCTCCTCCAAATCCAACGGGAGCAGCACCCTGAGCTATCATGTCCTTGCCTGTTGGCTTTGGCTTTTGAGAACATCGTCCCCTCCTCTCATGCCGTTCTTCCTGTTGCAGGAGACGTACCTGATGAAGCACATGCGGAAACACAACATCCCTGACCCACAGCAGCAGGTGGTTCAGGCACAAGCCCAGGCCTCTCAGCAGCAGCAGCACTTCCAGCCGCAGGGCGGGGGGGCAGCAGGGGGCCCTTCTGGAGACACTAACCAACCCAACCCTCCCCCCCAGTGCTCCTTTGACCTGACCCCTTACAAGACTTCAGAGCATCACAAGGACATCTGCCTCACTGTCAGCACCAGCGCCATCCAAGTGGAGCACCTCTCCAGCTCCTAGAGAGACCTCAACCCAGGGAGCAGAAAGCCTCTTGTGCATAGCCTGCGCCCAGGGGCACCGCTTGTGCAGCGGCCCTCGTGCAACAGTCTCCGGCCTCTCCTCCTGCAACAGCCTCTTCTGGCCGTGTAAGCCCCTTCACCCCCAGCCTGTCTCAAGGGGGTGCTCCTTCTGTGCAACAGCCTGCCTGGTAGGAGGATGCTTCCTTGTGCAAGAGCCCCTTTCCTGTGCTGGGATCACTTCCTCATGCAAGAGCCCCTCCTTTCAAACCCAAAGAAAGGCCCCCGTTTTGCCTTCTCTCTCACTGTAGGATGCGTATGAAGGGGGGTGCGCATTGAGACATGCATGATGGATGGGATGGAGAGACGGTCCTTGTACGTACAGGGGCTTGGACACATGTTTTCAGCAGGCCACAGAAGAATGTGGCAGGGTTCACAGCTGGATGGGGTTCTTTGAGGATTTCCTTGAGTGTCTAAGAGAGAAATACCCATTCCTGTCCCTCCTGCTTGTGAAAGGGAGGAGGGGTCGCTCGTCTTGCCCCAAGGACTGGATGGGAGAAACCACCTCCCCAGTGGAAGGTGAGACCAGTGCCGGGGGGAGAGGTGAGGCATGTTCTCTGGGCCAGACAGGCGCCTACACTGCCCGAGGGCTGTGGAGTATTGCACTCTTTCTCCTCCCCTGGTGGAGAGCAATAGAGAGGAGTCTGTCTGAACTGGCTGCTGCCTCTCTCTCCCAGCTGTCTGAGTGGCACGATGGCCAAGGCCCCGTAAGAATGTGGGTTCCTGCTCATTGCTCTTCCTGCCCGTTGTGGATGATGTCCTAGCAGCTTGTACTACTCCTCTCCCTCCTGCTTCCCCCCCATCTCCTCAGAAAAGCCTGCAGGCATCAACAACAAACCAAAAAGCAACTGGAGGGAGGGTAAGAGACTGCCAAAATAATCATCACCCTTCTCTCTACTCCCTTTCCTGAAAGGCGGAACAACAGCAGTTCTGACTCTTGCGCGCCTGTCCTGCCCCCAGTTTCCCAAAGGGAAGGAGGAGGAGGAATAGACCAGTCTTTTCAAGGAGCCGGCAGGAGGCAGGGAAAGGCTAGCTTCTCCTGCTCGCCTCCCGTCAGAGTGCTCTCCCAGGCTCCCTCTTGCCAAGACGGGCTGGACTCACATGGCAGTGGTGGCCTCTTCTGGACCCTGGTCATGGGAGAGAATCCCCAAAAGGCGGACAGTGGAGAGAAGGGGATGAAGATCCCCACAGAGAGACCAATCTAATGAGAAGGGGGAGCCAACAAGAATAAATTCCCCACCCCTGGCCCGCTCTGTCCTTGCTGTAACTGTTTCTATCTCTGTGTTTATAAAACGCATTATCCTGGCGAATTTTTATTTTCAATCTTCGTTTGTTTTTCCCTTTCTCTTCGTCTTCAATTCTCCTTCCCCTTTTTTTTTTAATTGGTCCACATGACTACCAGTCTTGTGTGTCACTTGTTAGTTTCTTTGGATCATGGAGGCTGACTCGGAAGAGAATGAGAAGGCAAGGGAAAAAGCATGTGTTGTTGGGATTTAAAATCAATCACCCACCCAAAGCCTATAGAATCCCAGACTTCTGTATGAACAACCAATAGGGGCTTTTTTTTTTTTTAACCACCTTGTATAGAAATAAATTGGTGTAAAAGGCTCCTCGAAGGTGCTGTTGCGAGCACCCTGCCCCTGTGACGTGTGTTCCTTCCCCCTGCACCAGACCACTGCACAAGCATCTTGCTGCTGTGAGCCCCGAGCGGCTGTGCGGGCGGACGCGAGGGTAGCACATCCCTGCCTTTGGGCAGGCTTGTGGTTTGCACAAGGAGAGCAAGGAGCTCTGCCCTCTATGCTCTGTGCCTGTGGAGCCTGCGGCGGAAACCTTTTTCTGTGTTTAGTCACCAGGGTTGGCTGCGAATGGTTAGAGTGTTTTGTAGAACCATAGGTTAGGGTAGAAGAAGCTGTCTGATTTCACAGGTGACATTTCAACTCATTTATCCTGTATTGAGCCCCAAGAACTAATGCGTATTTGAAGTACGTGTTGACAAAATGCATTGGCTTGATTTTGAGGTGCTGGGACACAGAGAATCCCTTCACTGGTGGCCTGCTGCAAGGGCTTTGTGTTCTCGCTGTTTAGATATTTAAGCCTGATTTCTCTTTTGGATCTGTTTGGCTTTGGCTTCCAGTTACTAGTTCTGGATACGTCCATCCTGCTGATTCAGAGAGCCTTAGAGCACAGTGGGGCTTTTTCCCTGGACTGGTATTTAAACACTGTAATATCCCTTCTCAATCCACTTTCTGACAAGCTAAATAGATGGAACTCCTTAAATCTTTCTCTGTAAGGGATTTCCTGCAGCCCATGAATTATTCTTGTCTTTTCTTTCTACATCTTGTCAAATTTTTCAGTATCTTTATAAGATACTGAAATGTTCCTTTCAGAATTGAGTGTTCAAGTCCTGGTGCCATGGACAAGGTCCCCCTGCTCTTTGCCTTAAGTCTGCAGAGGATTGCGTTCGCCCTTTTCTCGCAGCATTATATGGGAGCCCACATTAGCTGCTTGTCTGGTGTGACCCCTACATCATCCGAAGCCTCGGCTTTCCGTGATAGTGTTTCCCCTTTCTGCAGGTATGGTCTGAGCTCTTATTTCCTAGATATCTGACGTGAGGCTGTGTCAAAGTCCGGTTTGTGTGAATGGACCTGGCTTACTGATGGTCCGGGTTACTTGACGCTTTCCCCGTTTTGTTACCCACAAACTGTATCCGTTGTTATTTTTTACTTTTGGATCCAGGTTGAAAATGCTATATTGCATCTGACCTACACTAACTTGAAAAGCATCGTTCAGTGCAACTTTCTATTAGCTTCTTTTTGAGACTTGCAGGCTAGGCATTTCTTAATCCTCTTAGTATGTGGTTATGTACAGTAAATCTTTTTGACTTATGGTGCTAGGTCAATGCCTTACAAAAATTTAAGTATGTTGCACCTATGCAGTCCCCTTTGTTAAACCAAATGTATAATGATGTCATCTAAGAATGAAAGTTAGGTTTGGGTTTTGGGTTGATTTTTTTTTTTTTTTTTTTTCTACAAAATCTATATTTCTTAAAACCTTTGGATTATAGGTTTTATTTTTCATTCATTAATTCTTCATCTCAACAACTTTTCCATAATTTTGACATTGAGTCATTCATTTGCCTTTTGGGAATACTGTCATGAATGTCTTGAAGTATTTCTCTAATATCCCAAGTTTAATTAAAATTGGAATCAATGGGCTAGAGAGCTTGTTAGCGAACTCTTTTAGGACTCCTGTTTCTTTGCTGACTTAAAAAGACACATCCATGCTAGATGTCGTCTAGTCTCCTACTTTGATACTAAGGTACTGGGTAGAAGTTGCTATTTTCGTACGACTGCCACATCCTCTTTCTTTCTGAATAGGGAAATATTTGTTGACTGATTTACCCTGTTCTGTGTCACTAGAATTTTCACCATTTTTATTTAGCACACATCAGTACTATTAGTAAGATTTCTTGTTTATTTTTTATTTAAAGAAAGGAATGAAAGATCCCAAATCCCTTTCCTGTTACCAGCAGTTTTGCTAGCCACAAAGCTTTCCTTACCAGTTTTCCCTATTTTATAATGCCTAATTTATGTTGGTTGTTGTCTGGCCTTCCCCTTTTCCATGTGTTAAAGTTACAGGGTTGTTTGTTTGTTTTTGTTTTTTTTTTTTAAATGGTTTCTTCTTGCTCACAGACATCCTCACTGAACCCAGGATGAGCTTTTACCAAAAGTTTTCCTCTTTCTGGATTGTGGAATTAGGGCTTTTTTGGCCACATAATAAATTTTTCTTACAGAAGAGTTTCATTCACATTTTTCTGCCTTATTTTTTTTTCCTGTGGACAATTCAGTTTATAGTTTTGCTCACCTTTGAAATTAGCGCAGATTTGGCACAGGTTTATTACTGCTTGTGGCTCTCCTCCACGTTCCGTATGAACAGGACAAAATTGCCAGTTTCAGAGAATCATAGAATGGTTTGGGTTGGAAGGGACCTTTAAAGGTCATCTGGTCCAACCCCCCTGCCATGGGCAGGGACATCTTCAACTGGATCAGGTTGCTCAGAGACCTGCTCAAGTTATTATCTTGTCTTGTATGCATCACCTTGAAGTCTGAAAAACTGACTTGTTTTGGGTGCAGTGTCTTGTATTAAGAAAGCTAGAGTTTTAAAAGTTGGAAAGATGCCTTGCCAACTGGTTGAATTCCCTGGGGAATATCTCACGAGTTAAAACTCCTTGCAGTGGTTTTGCATTTTATATGTTCAAGGTGCTTGAAATCGACTTTCCCAGTCCCTGGTTTCATGTGTTGTTTCCTAATGACTGTTATCCTTCCCCTTTGTGGAATATGTTACCTAGCATGGGGATCCATATGTATTTAAGGCTGTATAATTCCTGTGTTACCAGTTATTTCAAAGGTATTATTGCTTGTGTTTGTGCAGTTTGCCACTGCTCCTACAGCTTTTACTGTCACCCAGGAAGAAACTGATGATTTTTTACTAAGGGACTTTCTCATTGAGTTTCAGAAATGCCACTTTATTCCAGGTCTCTTTTTTTTTTTCTCATCAGTGAGAATTTCTTGTCTCTCTGTTTACCCAGAGTCCTGTTGCTGGTGTGGAAATAATTTAAGATACCTTACCCTCATTATCTTTGTCACTTATTTGAGTTTGGATTAGGTCTTCCTCTTTGGATTCTTGAGGCAGTTTAACATATTCAAGGTGCTTCAGGTGGTTTAAAAAGTATCGTTGCTACCTTTGGGATGCAAAATGCAACCTCTATACAAAATCCTTCCCTCTTGAGATGAAGCCTCAGGTTCCACAGTCTGCAGCTTTTCAGCTTTGTGCACTCAAGCCAACAACGGTTCAATTCTTTAACTCCCACTCACGCGAGTGGAAGATTCTCTGACAAGATCCCATGGTCCTTCCTCTTCAGCTCCCAGAATTCTTTGACCCTGCATTTTCTTTGTGATGCCAATCCATTTGTTTCTGTACGTCTGTACCCAAAAAGACTTGACAATGACTCTGGAGCTCTGTATTAGGTTGCACCTTGTATCTTCGCTGGAAGGCGAGAGCACTTTTTCTTCTTGTCCTTTACTGAATTGGTTGTCTGTTCTTAGCTGGATTTTTGCAAATTATTGTTGCTTTAAAAGGAAACACCGTGTAGGCTGGAAATCATTTAGAAAAGTCACCCACAAACAGTAACTGAATCTCAGCCGTGACTAATGATAGTATTGCTGGTTTATAATTCAGTGAAATCTTTCTTGAAGATTTAAGACTTCCCTAATTTAAAGCCTTATGGTTAATCAACCATGTCCCTTATTAGAGTTTTTTGTTGGCTATCACTGCCATTAAAACTGCCATTCTGGTTTACTACTTTTTTTTTTTTTTTTAATCCATAGGTTCTTGTTATACCTTTGTTCAGTACATTAGTCTTCTGCTAGAAGAAGTCTTTTTTCTTTTGTAATGAATTACAGACCATGATCAAGTCACTGTATTCATCTTTCCAAACAGCTAAATTAAATTGAGCTGGTTTAGGTGTCTCACACTAAGGCTTTTGGCTCCACCATGTAGTACTTATCTATTGCCTTTCTTTTTCCTTTATGAGTGACCAGGCTGTGTAGGGCTCGGCTATAAGTCTTGCTACATTAGGCCTAAACAGTTATCTTGAGCCACCAAACTTACATTGCTGTAAAAGGATATGTAGTTCTTTTAATTAGATCTTTAAATTAAAACAAATAGCATTATGTTTCTTTTCTTAGCTGAGTGCAACCCGTATCCATTACACTGTGATTTTGCCAAATCAGTGTGAGGTTAACTGGCTTACAGCAACCTGGATGATCCCATTTACTTTTCAAATACTTTTTAAGTAAAAGTATTTGCTGGTCTTCTGGAACACATTCAGAGCTCCAAAGCTGTTTGGAAAAGAAAGCCCATTGCTTCCACCTGCTTGCCATATAATTCTTTCAAAATTTATTGATTGTGAGTTTCTAGCTATGCAACTTCTAGGATGTTTTATTTAATGGGTAGAACTTAAACATCTTCCTAAATCTCATGGGCAATAGGTAATATTTCATTACTTCACAGATGTCTACATCATCCAACTTTCTTCCTAATATAGAATATAATTATCAGAATCTGCCTGTCTTCTATATTTTTATTGATTATTTTATCATCTTTATATCAACTAAAAGATATATATCATGTTTAGGATTTTCTTCTAATATTTTGCAGGTAATGT